CTCCGACTTCGGCTCAGGTCATGATCTCGCGGTCTGTGGGTTCGAGCCCAGTGTCGGGCTCTGGGCTGACAGCTCGGGGCCTGGGGCCTGCTTCCGATTCTGTGTCTCCTCCTCCCTCTGCCCCTCCCCTGCTCATGCTCTGTCTCCCTCTGTCTCTCAATAATAAATAAACGATAAAAAATAATAATAAACATTTAAAAAATTAAAATAAAATGGTTGGTGGAATTTCAGAAAAGATAATAGTTTCTTTTCTTTGGGTTAATCTTTTGAGTAGGTACAATCACATGATTTAAAAATCAAAACATGTAGGAGCACCGGGGTGGCTCAGTCGGTGGAGCGTCTGACTTCGGCTCAGGTCATGATCTCATGGTTTGTGAGTTCGAGCCCTGCGTTGGGCTCTGTGTTGTTGGCACAGAGCCTGTTTTGGATCCTCTGTCCCCCTGTCTCGCCCCTCCCCCACTCGCACACGCGCTCTCTCTCTCTCGAAAATCAATAAACGTTAAAAAAAGAAAAAAAAATCCAAACGTGTAAAAAGGATATACAATGAAATGTCTCTTACTCCTTGTCTCAGCCATTGAGTCCACCTCTCAGTTTATCGTGTCCTTAGAGAAAGGACACCTCTCATGCACACACAGCACAAGGAAACACATATGCACGTATATTTTGCCCCACCAGCACAAATGCGAGAACGTTACGTGTACTTTTCTGCATCTGTTTCCTTCACTTGGCAATCCGAGCCCGCACTTACAGAAACTTGTCATGCTTTATTATACCGCATGGTACTTCTCATCACAAGTGTACTGTGAGTAATAAAGTCCTGTGTGTCTGATCCTGGAGTCCCTTGTCTGATTTCAGGATTCATGAAGGAGTAATAGACTGACTTCTTAGCTCATAAGTAGGGTAAAAGCAAATCTTTCACCTGCCAACAGGTATTATGCCAGTATATACTCCCAATAAAAGTACACGAGTATTTACTTACTGCCTTGCCAAATGCACTGTGTATTACCAACCTTTTTGATCTTTGTCCATTGACTAGATTAAAGTGTGTGTGTGTGTGTGTGTGCCTTTAATATACTTTTGCTTGATGTTCCTCTTATTTTGAAAGAGGTAGAACATATTTGTGTATGCTTAATATTCATTTGAATATCCTTAAAAAGTAATAGTCCTAATATTATGCACTTTTTGAGTGGCGGCCCCTAAGGGAATCCCAGAAGATTTCCATTCGCTTCTCACTCTTCAACTTCTCCTTCCTGCTCAGCTGAAGTGAATTGTTTAACTGGGCTGATGGCCAGATAACAGATTACCGCGAACAGACTGCTTCAGTGTTTTTGACAAATTCCACAGGAAGTGAATACTCCGCTCAGGATGTTGCAAGGACACAGCCAGGCCCGGCTTCGGTGCATCCGTGGTCATTGCTGGGTGTGATTGGAGTGCATTGAGGGAACAAATACCACATTCCTTCGAAGTTTCCTTCTTCGCACTTGGCACGTTACGTGTCCCTTGCTAAATCTAAACACAAATCACGGAGAGAAAGACGCTATCCAGCGCGGCAGACTTCCTCTGAACGTCCTGTGGTCCAAACCATTATTCAGTTGGAAATTTTTAAGATGGAGTTTATCAAACTCATCCTACGTCTTCCAGATTTTACTTATAAACCACCTTTAAAGCCCCGGTACTTCATTAATATCTTATTTCCACTGGCAAAAATTCAGCATAATATAAAAAAGATCTTTGTGCATGTTTGTGAGTAGTACTATGCTGGCATTATTAACCATTAATTATATCGTTTTCCGTCAGTAAAGAACTTTTCCTTAGTAAGAGAATTTCAATTTGCAAAAATGGCAGCTTAAAGTTACTGGGCAAAATGTGCTTATTCACTGTAGAAAGGAAGAAACATTCTATTGTTGAACATTGAGATGAAATACATAGGGCCCACGGTTAAAGGGAACACGTTAGCTTGAATGGCAACTTTGTTTTTCTTTTGCAACTCACATCAGACAATTGAAAACTGTTTTCACCATCAAACATACTTTAGAAAGCTCCAGAAGGAAAGCCTGCTGCATTTACTGATAGTTTTGCTGACCGTGTCTTTCCTCCTGATGTTCTGAGGTTTTTTTATCTTTTCCTTTCTTGTTAGAAAATGTCCTTTATCCACTCTTTTAGGGTTAGGTCAACTGGCGACACATTTTCTTGTTTCCTTCGTCTGAGAATGTTTTCCTTTCCCCTTTTGCTCTGAAAGATATTTTAGGTATATCTAAATTCGAGGTATAATCTTATTTTGGATGTAGGATTCTAGATTGATAGCTGTTCTTTCAGCATGTGACAAAGAGTGTGTCACTTCTTTCCAGCCTGCACGGTCTCTGATGACAATCTGTTGTCATTCTCTTTTCCTTCTAGAGACCAGGTGTTTGTCTCTGACTGCTTTCAACATGTTTTCTCTGATTGCTTTTCAGAAGTTTAATTATGAGGGGCGCCTGGGTGGCTCAGTCGGTTAAGCGTCCAACTTCAGCCAGGTCACGATCTCGCGGTCCGTGAGTTCGAGCCCCGCGTCGGGCTCTGGGCTGATGGCTCAGAGCCTGGAGCCTGTTTCCGATTCTGTGTCTCCCTCTCTCTCTGCCCCTCC